CACAGCCGCACGTCTCCTCTCCACGAGTCTCCCCGCAGCCCAGGAGAAATGTGCTCTGTGCAGGTGAGTCGCTTGTGCTTCCGTAGTTCAAAGGCCCGGCTCTCGTGCCCTCGCTGGCTCTGGGTCAAGGCCCATCCTCTCAGCTTGCACCGGGGCCCCCCACAATTGGACCTGTCTCTCCTCCCTCCTGGCCCCTCTCTCCACGCCAGGCCTTTGCTGCACATGGCTGGTACATCTTTGCTCCCTGCTGCCAAATGCTGCTTCCTCTTACACACTCTGTAGAGCCCAGGGTCACCTCCCCCTCCCCCACCACTGTTTTCCAGCCTACAGAGAGCACCCCTCCCTCACCCCATGACCTGCCATCATGTTCTGCCTTGGAGCTATTCACGGCATGCAACACTCTGGCACTGAGCTTCCCACCAGCCTACGGCCAGGGAGGCCCTCGGCAGGCCTGGCCTCACACCTAATCGTGCTCAGAGGTTCCCAGCAGCACACCAGAGGAGCCACACGAATGCCGGGGAGAGGCATCCCGTCTTCCCCAGAACCCCACAGGGAACAGCATGCAGCAGCAGCGGGACCAGACAGCACTGGGAGCAGGCTAGGAGCCGCCGAGCGTGGCCTGGAGGCGGGGAGGCAGGAGTCCAGTCCCAGGACCTCGGCTGGGCCTTGCTGGGCCTGCGGTGCTCTGGCCCTTGCTGGCTCTGAGCATCGAGGAGGTCACTGCTTCCTGTGCGGGCAACAGAGAACTGGGTTATTGGATAAAGGAGGCTAAATAGGTTAATGCTGAGTGCCAGACAGGTGGAAGCTAAGCAAACAGCCACCTCCCCCTCTGGAAAGCCAGCCCCAGCCGACCCCAGAGCCAGGCCTCCCGGTCCCCTTCCTGGCCACCCTCCTTCTCAGGAGAGTCAGCCCAGGTCCTGCCCACCCTCCCGGCCTTTTATCCTCATTAGGCGGGTCTGAGACTTCGGCTTTAATAACACCAGGGGTGAGCAGGGCTGAGGAGCAGCGCTGTGTTATTGCTTTCATCTTCACTGCCAGTCAGAGGCGCCCAGGGCCTGCTGGTAATGAGCTCCCTGGTGCTGGGGAGGTCACTACTGTCTAGAAAGCACCTCGAGGCTGAGGGTGTGGTCCTAGCCGTAGCAGCTTGGCGGAGAGCCTGGCGGGTGCTGGGGGCTGGGCCTGCAGTCTGGGGAGGGGGAGCGGGGATGGTGGCTTCCCAAGACTGCTGTCCCTCTGTGCAAACTGTCCACCTGACCGTCGCTGCCCATTACTGCAGAGTGGTTGCAGAGCCCAGACAGCCGGACAGGAGGCTCTTAAAGGCCTGGGGCTGGCACCACGCTGCTCTCGCTGCCACGGTGCCACAACCACTTCCCTCCTTGCTGCACCCACAGAGCCCAGACGTGGAAAACCAGCTCCTCTCTGTGGGCTGCCGGGCAAGAGCAGCGTGCCCCCCGGCAGGGGACCCTAGTTTTGTCCTCTGGCCACAGAGCAGCCATGAGACTTCGTGCACCTCATTCACGCCTCCCGGCTTCCATGTGCAAGGTGAGACAGCTGTACTGGACATTGCTCCTGCTGGCCATAAAAACCAGGGGTTCAGGCTGGAAGGCCGGTCAACAGCTGCCACCTGCTGAGGTGACCCAGGATGCTGAAGGCGTATGTACGGCCGCCTCAAAAGACCCAGCAATTCAATCCTAAAATCTGAAGATTTGATGGTTGATGAAGAATCTAAATAGTATTTTCAAAACTGGGCTTCGACACAGGACTCTCAGACCCCAGAGCCTGCTGCTCCCTGACTGGATGCAGGCCACCGTGGTGCGAAGCCTCTGGGGAAGAAAGAGACAGGTAGACGGGCTGCAGCTCTGTGTTCGGCACTGCTCAGCTGTTCGCATTCGATCCCAAACTTTTAAGAGTAACTGAAATTCTAAACTTGGAAAAAAAAAAAAAACACCAAAATATCTGAAGATTTGAGCCCACTCCTCCCCCACCCCGCCGCCATGTTCTGTTCTTCTCCAGAGCCACCTCCTGCCTCCTAAATGGCAAGGATGCCCTTGCCCGGCCACCTAGGGATCCAGACTGAGCGAGCAGGAGCACCGCCGTGCCCCCCCCCCAGAACACTTCCAGTCTCTTCATCGCTAAGTGGCTTGTCGGAATCGCTAGTCAGCAGAGAAGCATCCAGCTGTACTTTCAGGAAAGCCACAGGAGACCTGAAAGGAGCCCTGAAGCGCTCGGCAGGAAGTGCTATCAAGTTGCCCTGGGCCAGGGCCTAGGGGACACAAGGTAGGTGCCAATTTGGCTTCAACGGGCAGAGAAACAGCCAATGAGCTAGTTTTCTCCACAAGTCTGGGGCCTGAGGTTGGGGCTGGAGACTGTCAGATGCAGATGCTGGAGGGCTGGGCTGAGCCCTGGCTGCGGCCCCAGCGGACCTCAGCATAAGCCAGGCCCCTAACTCCAGGCCCCTAACTCCTAACTTTCTTTGACGTGGGGATTCTCTGATAAACTGCTGTGTTCTCGGTACATCCTGGGGGAGCGGGGCGGGGGCTGTTTCTCTCTTTCCACCTCTCCCATCCCGCCCAGGACAGACAGATAGCGAGCGCTCAGTAAATTCCAGCTGATGAGTGAGGGGTTGAGAATACAGGTGTGAAGTCCACGGCCCGACAGATAGCACAGGTGGTGCGGCTCAGCCGTCCATAGTCTGAGCTCTGTACAAACGGGGCGAATAACAGCAGCTATGCCAGCTACTGCTTAGGCCTACGCGGCCCAGTTCCTGGCCCAGAGAAGACTCTCAGAAGTATCAGCTGTTGTATCACGATGACGATGGCTATAATTAGGACGAATATGAAGAGCTCGGGGGTCTCGGGGTGGGCCCGGGAGGGGACACTGAAGTCGATGACACCACCTGCTTGGATCAGGGCTGTACGAGAGGTGTGGACAAGCAGTGAAAGAGTGGAAGTGGAAACCACGCTCTCAGGG